TTAAAGAGCATCACAAAATTAGTAATATTCCAAAGTTTCGTTGCGAAATGTTGTAAAATGCGGATAATATAGCCTTGCGAAATTTGCAATTTTCAGTCATTTTGTATTACAAACGGGAAATTGTTGCCCCAACACCCGATTGGGCTGTCAATTTCTCGTGCGTAATACAAAATGACTGAAAAACGGAAAACTTCGCAAGGCTATATTTTATCCGCATTTTACAACATTTCGCAACGAAACTTTGGAATATTACTAATTTTGTGAAGCTCGTTCAAGCTATGATGAAATTTTTGTCTAGATCAAAATTTATTCTATAATGCAAATGGTCAATTCAATTCAATTCAATTCAATTTATTACAAGTTAAAAACAAACAAGTTACACACTATACACTAACCCGCAAGTAGTTAAAAACTAATATACTTTTCCATTTGCTTATCACTATATTCAATTTTTAAAATTTTTGATACGTTTCTGAAGCGGCAAGCAAACTTAAAAAGTAAGTTTAGTGCTTTATCTGTAAAATTATGCTAGAATGAAGAGATTTTAGATGGTACGCCAAAGAGAAAATGATGTCTGAAGTTCAGTAAGTTTTGCTTATATTGCTGGATAAATATGGCGTCAATTTTACAGCATCAATGATAATTGTATTGAAATTGACAATATTTAACTATTATTCTGTGTTTCTCAACCGCCAGATACATTTAAAAAGGTTGCTAACTGTATAAACTACAAAATAAAGCAAAGTAATTTTGAGAGGAACGCCAAAAGGATTTCAGGTTTTCAACACTTTTCATCACAACTATGCGAAATTGAAAAAAACTACCTTTTAATCATATACTCCTCAACTGAAACACTCCGACCTTTTAATTCGGTCTCCATTTAAACATGTTTAATTTCAATCAATTTTGCAAGAAAATTTAAGTATGTTTTATAGATTGCAAGAACTGCTTAAATAAGTCGCTTACAAAATCTTTGCATGGTTACAGCTTTTGTTAGAAGATATTTCAGACTATACGTACTGTATAATCTGTAAACGGGATGACGTTTGCACAATAATAGAAAAGCATTTATATAGACCAATAATTGCGAGAACCACTGAGCATTTTCATGAAATACAGAACAACGGTAACTCCGAATAAAGACAACATTTTTTATTCAACGTTTCGTCTTTATTTAGTCATCTGCAGAAATGATGAAGATGACTAAATAAAGTCGAAACATTGGATCAGAAATGTTGTCTTTATTCGGAGTTACCGTTGTTCTGTATTTCATTGACATGCATAGAGTTCCAATAAGTCCGTCATCGTCTATATACATTACATCGTCTATATACATTACAGAAAAAATTCATATTACAAGAACACATTGGTATTGAAGGAACTAGATACTGTTCCGAAATATCACTTACTCGAACCGTCCTGACCGCGTAGCTCAGTTGGAAGAGCATTGGGCTAGTATTCCAAAGGTCGTGGTTCGAATCCCACCGTGGCCGGGCATATTTTTCAAGCTCGCCCGGTGTGGATATGCACTCAGAGTAACATCACAAACATACTATATACATTACAAGTTGTTAACAAGATGATGACACTACAAGCTCTTAGAAACTTTAAAGTTTGTTACGAACAACCTGTAGCACGTTTATTACCGTCATAAACCCATAGATATTTTATATACACTAGATAGTGCATCTAATTATTCTATACAATTCAAATATTGAAGCCGTGATTGCAGACTCAGGATATTCCCATGAAATGAGAAGATTTGTATGTTTTCTATTTCTTAAACACGGAACTTAAACATTAAGTTAAACCTATTCCAAATACATTTTTAAAGTATTCAAATGATGAAAGTTATTGGTGTTTTCTAAGCGTTTATTAGTGAGTGGGAAACTCCAATATGACCGCCATCTATTCAAATGGGGGTAACCGCTGGAATATTCTTGGCTTCAATTTTACTAAAAGAGATGCGCTATCTAGTCTATATATATAAGATATCTATGCATAAACCTTGTAACAAGGTGATAACAACTTGTTCCAGACTTGTCACAACAACTGGGAACAAGCAGTCCGAACACATCCTGATATCGACTTGACAACAACCTTAATTGTTGCAGATCTGTGTCACAGAATAGGAAGTTATACCAGAAGCGTAACTCTAGTCGTTTCCCTTATTGTTTGACGTCCACGAAAATTTTTAACTCGCTCACGTCAGGCCACGCCATCCTGGCTAGTACAGCCGGAAGTTTTTATCAGGATTTGGTAGGTACAAAGTGCCGGTTGTACTAGCCAGGATGGCGTGATTGATGACGAATCGCTTGTAAAATAGCGGACAAATATTTGCTCGAGTTACGCTTCTGGTATAACTTCCTATTCTGTGTCTGTGTACTGTTACATGTGTACTTTAATTCATAGATCTACTTTAATTCATAGATCTACTTGAGGATGAGTCGAGTTCAAGTGGCAATGAGATGGTATTAAAATGTGATCTACATGAAGTTTTGATTGATCCAATGACCTTGTTGAATGGCGAATATTTTGTAAGCATTGCATTTATAGTTAATGAAAAAATCCCCCCCTCGTGGTAATGTTTTACTTTGTTGTATATCTTTCATAGAATTTGAGAGGTGATTACAGTTCCGGGAAGAGTTATTCTCAATCCAGCAAGGCGGGTAGCCTGGCATCACAATGTGTGAACCAAGTTTATAGATTGAGAGCATTTTCCTTGGTGAAGACTAGCGGTGTTTGCGAATCTGTGGTAAGAAAATATCTCAATATCTTCAATATCTAATTAGCTCAAGAATCTGATTTAAGGCCTGCTTCCGAACATCCCCATTCAACATTTGACGTTTCTAAATGCGGTCCACCGCAACATTACGGTAAATTCTACCCATCGACATGCATTTTGCATGTGTCGAATTTTCTTCTTTTGGGCCTGAAGACTTCATGTAATTATACCACGTAATTATATCATGTAATTCATTGCTTCCCTCCCTCCCTAACACGCTTCAACACACCCAGATTCTGGTGTGTCATGTGACCAGCCTGAACCAGGGTCTCTGCTGGAGCGTGTTAGGGAGGGAAGCGGAAGTTGAGAGCCTGGCGCTTGCGAGGATGACATAGATGACCTTGCGAGGATGACAACTTGATGCCAAATGACATATAGTTGCGTTTTCTCAGCTGTTCCTGAAAAATTTCATATCGAAATGTTCGTCTACAAACCCCCATCAAGAATCAGTTCTATCGAGTGATGTGCCCAAAAATCTTAGTATAATTTTATGCCGACCTCGTACTCAGGGCCTTTGCGCGGTAGCCTCTGAACCGCGCAAAGGCCCTGAATACGAGGTTGATTATATGCGTGCCTTTAAGTTTGGTAACAGTATATTGTCTTTTTTATGTTCCCTCCTTGTCATATTTTCTACTCCAAAGCTTTATGGAATGGTAAGAGGCCTATTATAATATTTTGTTATATACCAGGTGATCTTGATACGCGGAAAAGTACTGGCACTAGTTGTCAAATAGAAATCCATTTTATGATTAAAACAACTGAATATCTCCTGTAATATACTTTATTTCGATTCCAAATTTTTGTCAGAGCTATAGTTCTCATAACCAAACATAATTACAAAATTTCAACTAGTTTCATAAAGAATGGATTTCTATTCGGACAACCCTTTCTGAGCGCTGATTGGCTAAAATACGAACACGAGATCACCTGGTAGTTAGTGTCAAAGTTTCTTTAAATTCATTTCTCTGTTTGCCTATTGGTCAAAACCGAAACAATTATGGACCAATAGAATATCAACAATAGAATGGGTACAGTGGGCATGCGCGTCAACTGTGAAGTTACAAAGTTTAGGGACCGGTCATTATTTATGGCGGGGGGTGGCACCGAAGAGAAATGTTTTCCGTGTCAGAAATTTTGCTGACCCAACCATTAAAAAGACAAAAATTTGATTACCCAACCTCAAATATCAATTAAAAATTAACTACCCACCCCTGGCCAAAAACTTAA